GGCGGCAATCTCGAGTCAGCATTCGTGAAATTAACAATAACTGGGGAATTTGCTCCATCCGAGCTTAATGCCGTGTGTGTTATATGCATAGTAACTCCCAGGCACACTCCGCCGAGTCCATAATACGTGCATCGACCGAGCTTCATAATAGGCTGCAGCTTGATTTGCTCCAGAAATCAACTCTTCGCTCGTCAAAACCATAGAAGATGAAGAAATGGTTCAGCAGTACGAGCTTTTTTACAAAAAGTACCAACTGCGTGATAATGAATTTTTGAAAAATGTATCCCTTAACAATCATCTATATTGTTAGAATAATTGTAAATCGTTAAATATAAATATCAGTTCAATGTTACGTTGTGTTCTTTTTTGGCTTAGCGATATCGTTACGATATGTATCATTTACTATTTTCCACTACTATATGCGCTTTACACATTCACGCACGAGAATTTTTTTCCCATTCTCGCGGCTCCATTCAGCCGCAAATTCGCCAAATGGCTGCGGGTGTAAAATTAGCTCGCTCCCAAAATTGGTTTGAATATCAAACGCCTCGGCGTTTGAATATTTACAGGGCGCGCGCGCGAGCCGAAATTCATCCTTGTAAATCTCTATTACCAATGCTAATTTAATAGAGGCCGCGCGTTATATGTTCGCGAATATTGCGAACGAGCGAGCGAGCGTCAAAATTCCCCGCCCGAAAATCGGATCAGCATCGTTTAACTTTTGACATTTATAATACCGATGAACGCGCAGTACAGTGATTCGTGAAAATATCACGTCTCGCCTAACTAGCGTTACATACATACCGCGTATCAAAGTTTTCTGCTGAACTTTAATGGCCTGTTTTGTGCGTTTATTTTTACTTTGCCACTTGCAGGTTTACGCATAATGGTATACTCGCCATCTATCGGAGAAAGCTCAAAGTAGTCTATTATTGCATTGAAAGTTATTAAAAACTGTTTAAACGGTTACTCGGTCGTTTTCCGGTGATTTAAAATGCGCCTAATTTTTATAACATAATTGTAACAAGAATGTCATCGAAAACGAGCCAATTGAAGTATTCCAAAACATTTTAAATGCTATGGTGATAAAAATATCGCTATTGAAGCTCTCATATAGATTTCGGTGTAAATTTTTTTTCGTCGACTCCTTGGTTCAAACAAATCAAAGCTGCGCAGTCCATTAAAAAGATTTGTGTAGGTTTTTTTGACTCGAAAGAATCGAGCGCTCGACGTTAACCCTTTCTCTCTCCCTCTGCAACTAAGCCACGTGTATTTTTCTCCCTGCCCCGAACGCTCACCGAATTCGACGCTCTCTCTCTTTCTTTTTTGCTCTTCTCCTTTATCAAACTTTTGCTACACACATACGCACAGGGCCGAGCAGTTTCTGTGCGCAAAATAAGTCGAGCGCCGCCTTTTTTGCCGAACGTATATACCTGCTGACCCATAGCCGCAAGATTCTAGGGCAATTACAACCTCGTGCTTGCTCTTTATTCGTTCGTTCGCTCGTCGGGCAGACTTTCGCAGGCCGACTTATCAGATGGTTTGTTCAGCCAAAGTTGGCCTTTTCAAAATGAAGTTTTATTTCTCTTCTCTCTCGCTCTCTCTCTCTCTCTGACTCTCCGCAACGCGTATAGCCAGGTAGTACCGCATATACCCATCGCGGCCGGCTATATGGAGTCGAAGCGCAAAGTTTTTCTCGCGCCAAGACGCGCTAGCTAAAGTCGGCGCAAAGATCTCTTTCTCCCTCTCACTCATTCTCTTCTCGCTCGCACCCACAGCGAAGTTGAAAAAAAAAGAAGTAAAATAAAAAAATAACTATGCTAATCGCGCCTTTTTTCCACTCGCTTCTTTTACTCTCTCTCTCTCTCTCTCTCTCTCTCTCACGCATTCGCAGGAAAAAGGAGCAGCGCGTCAGATAGAGAGCTTAATCTCGCCAAGTCCGATATATATAGCGGCCTCCCCGCCAACTAGGAACTTTCTCTATGCGTGTGATTGAAATGGCCATGCCGCGAGGATTAGTATATTTAGCGCGAGATTCGACAACCATTATGAAAAAAAAAAAATAGCGCTCCCGTCAAAAGGTAAAAGGCTACAATTTGAGCTCGACTTTTGAAAGTCAACGGAAAAAAACTAAAAAAAAAACACGAAGGGTCGAGAGGTAAAGAGAAAGATGAAATGTTCAAATACTTGATTTAACAGTCCATATTCAGGAATTTAATAATTCATTCCGCTCCGTTATTCGCTCGCTTTAGTACTTCTCTCCGCGCAGGACCTTTTTCTTCGCTCTTATACTCGGCACCGCTGCTGCTGCTGTACTTGCGCTGCTGCTGCTACTGCCACTGCTGCTGCAGCAAAGTGTCGAGAGGTACTTGAATAAATCGCTTTATAAGCTGGAAAATCTTCTCACCGTAATGCAAGTTTATTCATTTGCTATATACCTGCTGCTGCTGCCACTGGTGCCCACGCTACATTCCCGCGAGTTTTATTTGAATTTGCATTCCATTTTTTACAGTCGCGATTCTTTGGCACACGGCGCAAGTAGGGGGCGACGAAAAAAAAGGAAGGCTTTTTATTAAATTTCGTGACACTTTGTCGGGAGCCGCAGTCAAAAGTCGGCGAGCTTTAACTGATAACTTTAACTCCAATGGTACGAGGGAGATATAAGCGGGTTCGTGTGTGTAGTTAGCTAAAATGATATGTGCATCGATCGAGACCAATTAGTCTCGAACGACCGAAGACGAATTCGAAACGTACAAGGTGAGAAGCTTTGAGCATCGATTACTTAGCTGACTTTCGAACGAATCGAGCATTTATTTCTAAGAGCGGTTAATTCAAATTGATAGACGATTTTTAATAAAGCTGCGTGCGTTGCGACGCATTGTTATATTTCTCGCGCATTTTGGAATACATAAACGATCAGTTCGCGCGCTAGACGTAAAAGAGGAGTAGCGAGTCGATCCTGCGGACCTGTGTGTGTGTGTGGGTGTGTGTGTGTGCGCTCGCGCAAGAGCCCGAGCGTCGGTGCAGCAGCAGCAGCAGCAGCAGCAAACTCGTTTCAAGTTGAACTTGCAGCAGCAAGCGCGAGGGCACGGTGCGGAGGCGAAACGAGCAGGCGCGCGCGAGCAGTACCTACTCGAAAACTTTTCAACTCTCGCGCTCAATATAGATAGTCTCTCTCTCTCTACTATATATATATATATAGCCTCTAGCTGCAGCAGGTTGGTCGTCATTCCTCTCTCTCTCTCTTTCTCTCTCGTTCGTCGCTACTTCATCTTCGTGTCGGAGCGTGTAAGCCCTTACAACAACGGCATCGTGTGTGCGTGTGTGTGTGTGCAGTGCCGTACATAAGCTATTTTTTATGCCTTATTGGTCCTTTATACAGGGCGCGCGCTCCGCACATGAGGCATCGCTCCATTCGGCAGAGAGTCGAATTTTCCTCTTTTCTTTTGGCCGTTTTGCTCCGCATAAAGCCTGCCGGAGCGCGTAAACTCTGGAAATATTTTTTTTTTCAACCCCGCGAATTGCAGCGCGCGCGGCGCCTTTTTATTATCCACGAATTTGTACGCATGCGTGCGCGCCACATGCACGTACGTACGTATATGTGTATACGGGACCATGGCGGCGCGCTAGCCTACGAGATTTATGACTGTAATAGATGCAGCCCATGCCCATGTATATATGCACGTGCTTATTCGTAATCTACAAGGGACCTATAAGCGCGCGAGCACGCGACGCTTTGTGCACGTGTGTGTGTGTACGATGGAATTATTTAGATCGATGGAAAGTAGTGCTCAATTGATAGTGGCTACCCGATCGCCCCCGGAAAGTCGGGACAAATGTTTTTGATGTAGGCTTATTCGGCCGAGCTTTATGTATACCTATCCCGTAACAAAGCGCGAGAGCGTCGAAATTACGGAGGATTATAAATACATCTCGCATTCAATACTTCGTAAATTCTCGTTAGAGTCTGAGGAAAATCCTTCGTTTAAAACTCACGCTTACGCGTTAGCTGTACCCTGCGTTCCTATATAAATTCGCGAGTTTTATTTTGCAACTTTTATCGATACGTACCTGGAAATCTGTAACTATGAATTGCTGTACGAAATCGATAAATATAAATAAAAACGATATTTTTTCGCGTTTGTTGCGTGGATTGCACTGATTATGAATGATAACATTTTTTTCACAAATGCTTTCTTAAACGTACCAACGCGCGTAGGTACGCGTAGCGTTGAATATGTTATAAACGATACGTTCGGATCGTTAAAAAAAAAGTATGATTGCTTTTTAACGCTTTGTACACAGCACTGATTGGAAGTGAACTCATTTAAATATGGATTTTTTAGGTACGAGTAAAGTAACGAAAAATATTTAATTTTCAAAATTCGTTCTCGACACGTTACTGACGAATCATTTTTCGACCATCGAACATTATAGTGTGTTTGAGTGAGTTTTAATTCGTATCGTGCGTAGACTAAATTAAAAATCAAGTTTCTGAACACGCAACTAAATCAGTCGAATGTTTGGACGCCCATTGTGCCAATCGCCCACATGTGATCGGCGTTTCGTCGATGAACATGTCGATAATATTATAGGCGAGGAGGAAAGAGTCATCGAATCGCATGACTCTCCAGATGCTTTTACGACAAAGCCATGCTCTGGAAATATATGCGTGAGTGTGTGTGTACGACAAGATCGATATTGCACCGAGTGCACGCGCTACATCGGTTGCAGCGCCGCAATGGCGTTTGACACGAGCACACATAAATCTCCCGACAATCTCGAATTCGCTCATTTTGTGTTTTTTGTTTCCCCTTACAAGAATCTTGAAAATAGTCTTCAGTGTACAGTTATATTTAATATCATCGTACAAAAATCTAGGCTGATGTAACAACCGTATGATATTTGTTTATGTTTTCTAGTAGCGCTCAATTTTAATTGAAATAAATTTGAATATTTTGAGTACCAACGTTCGTTGGTATTGACGAGTTTAATATCCCGTGTTGTGTACAGAGAATTGTAAATATCGTTGATTCAATGTTACGCTCGCGTTCAACGAGTGAACTCGACCGGAAAAGTAGCTCTGGACCAATCTACGAAAAAGATGAATCTTAATTCATCTTCGCCAGGATCATCATTCGCCGCCAGGTAATATTTGAACTGATTGTTATAAATAAAAAATCATTCGAGGATGAATTGAAAATCTTTTGAATCCATTTTAGAATAAAGCGTGAGCCTAGTTGCTCGAATGATGACACATCTAAAAATTCTCAAGAAAGCACCAATGATGACGTGAGTTAACATAATTATCATGATAAATTCGCGATTTAAATTCAACACATTTACATGAACTCGAAATTTATACAATAGAATCTTGGGCGACGGTCTGATGATAGACATGAAGCAACGCAGAATCTTTTTAATGAAGATGGCAATGAATTTATCATAGAATTCGAGTGCAAAACTGAATTTGTTGGAAACGATCTTATAAAAAAAGAACCTCCAGTTGCAATGCAAAAAGAATCTTCTAAAAATCGAAACAGGAAGTCAATGATTGATCGTGAGCGACGGTCTAAAAATAAACTTGTAACGACCCAGAATCTTTTTGACAAAGAAGTTAGCATAAATTTTGCGTGCAAAACAGAAACAGAATCCAATCCGAATCATATACTAACTAAAAAAGTTCGTGATCGACCTAATCATTCCTTAAGAAAAGGCCAAATAGAGATAAATGTTGGAACTCGAAATGGAAAGTCAAACACGAATTTTGATGATGTGCTTAACAAAATAAATAAGAAAATAAAAAATCCCAAAAGAAAATCCGTCGATGTTCGCATGACGCAAGTGGCGAAAAAGAGCCTGAAGCCAAATACCAAGAAAGCAGTTAAAAAACGTAATAATTATTCGTGTAATTCGTGTGAAAAAACATTTACAACCAACGAGGGTCTTAAAGCACATGTAAATTCGAAACATAAAGGGGTGACTTACGTGTGTTTTGTATGCGGAAAGGGGATCACATCACATTACCATCTCGAAGCTCACAAACAATCGGTGAACGTTGGCAAGCGCACGCGTGCATGCGATTCCTGCGATAAGAAGTTTGCAACCAGGACTTATCCCATGAGACATGTTCGTTCTGTGCACAATGGTGTCGAACATGCATGCAATGTGTGCGGGAAGAAGTATAAATTTAAGAAAAACCTCAAATTACACATCGACTCGATGCATCGAAAAAACGAACACGTGTGTGATATTTGCGGGAAAAAATTTTTACAGAAACACAGTCTCAAAATCCACGTCAATGCGGTGCACAAACGTGTCAGACATGCATGCGATGTGTGCGGTAAAAAATATAAATATAAGGGCTCCCTCAAAGTTCATAAAGATTTTGAGCACAAAAAAATCGCACGTGTGTGTGATTTTTGCAAGAAGGAATTTTCACAAAAAAGCCTGCTCATAAACCACATCAATGCCGAGCACAATGGTGTCAAACATGCATGCAGTGAGTGCGGAAAGAAGTATAAATTTAAGAGTAACCTTAAAATCCATATAGATTCGATGCACAGAAAAATCGAACACGCGTGTGATATTTGCGGGAAGAAGTACACATCAAAGAGTATGCTCGGACATCATAAAGATTCGAAGCACAGAAAATTCACATACACGTGCGATATTTGCGGGAAGGAATTTAAGTGGAAGACTTCTATTATTAAGCATATCAAAGCGGCGCATGCGGGTATCACACGTAATTCACAAAAGCAGACATCAAAATGCAAGGGTAAGCTCAAAGTCCACAAGGACTCGTCGGTGCATGATGGTGTCACCCAGAGCTCATGTGGTATTTGCGGAAAGACATTCGCACGCAAGGCACAGCTCCGAATTCACATTAAGGCGGCACACAATTGTGTCAAGCCTGCGCCAAAAATTCGCAAATCTAATCGCAAGAAGTCCAACGATGCTGCGCGCAATGGTATCCCGGATAAACGCGATTTACGCGCGAAGCAATTCACATCGAGGGACACTCGTAAGAATCGTATCGATGCGATTCGCAAGGCAGTTGGCCATTCGTGTGACGTATGCGGAAAAAAGTTTGGACAGCAGAGTAGCCTCAGAATCCACCTTGACTCTGTGCACAACAATGTCAGGCCGTGTGACATTTGCGGGGAGAAATTCAGGTGGAAGGCTACTCTCAAGAGGCATATCAAAACGATGCACAAAGGTCATACATGCGGTACATGCGGAAAAACGTTTAAACTGAGGATTCAGCGCTTGATTCACAATCGTAACGAACATGATACTACAGCTAGAAAGTCATTTTTGAGTAAGTCCAATCCGAAATCCCACGTCGATACGGCGATTACCGGTGTCGTCGCCCACTCGTGTGATGTATGCGGCAAGAAATTCGCAGGAGAAAAATCCGTTAAAATTCACGCCGGTCGCATGCATAAAGGAATTAAATCTCAGAAAAAAAACATTCAATAAACGAAGAGAGCTACTTTGGTCCGGCGAGTTGTGATTTCATTTCTCGTACTCGTGTACGGCAGGTTACGTAAAATTACGTAAATTATAAATTCCTAGAACTTGAATTAAGATTTTTCAAGTAAAAAAATGTAAAGTTTTTACAAAAATTGTGTATAATCAATCATATACAATTATCGCGGTATAAAAACTTTATAAAATCTTTAGTAGAAAATCAAAGATTTCGTTTTTTATAAAAATTAGACAAAATTATGTAAAAATATAAATAACATTAAAATTTTTCGATTTTAATTTCTTTATAAAAAAAATTGTAAATAATGAGAGCGAAAATGTGTTATTTATTTGCAAAAATGCAACATCTTATAAAGAGATTTGTGTGTGTTTAAAGTGATATTTATACAGTTTGACTATCAAATAACATAAATAAATAATATGCAACGATTCACAGAATCATTCTCTTAAATTTATTTTTTTTTATGCACCAACTCAACGGACTAGTTTGGGGTGAAAAACTCAAGATATAAATATGATCAGAGGTGATCAGGGGTGTAGAAGTACCGTAGGGAATTTTTACAAATTTTTCCAAACACTTTTTGCAACAACATGGCGGCCATAACTGAAAGCTTCATCTTTGAAAACAAATTCCGTTGAATTTTTGCCAATGTTGTATATCATATGTAGGAGGTGTTAACGCCATTTTTAGTGAGACAATCATTTTTCGTCGAATTGCTTAATTCCTAAATTGCAGTAAAAGTATCTGAATAGCAGCGATTTTCGCTCGCTACAGTTCCTCTTTCAAACGCATATATTTTCTCTCTGTGTATCACAAAGCTTATCTATATTAATATATTATTTTGTATTATAAATGTATAATTCGTGTTCGATTTAATTTAGAGTTATTTATCATTATAACTATGAACATTTGTTTTATAATACAACACATCAATAACATACTAATAAAAGCTTCAATAGTATCCGCCTAAAAAACGCGAAAAAATGTTGATTTATTCATATTTATTTATTTCGTATAGCAAATCATAGTTAAAAATGTCGAGGTATATATCGATAAAAGTTGCAAAGTAAAGCTCATACGACATACGACTCGTAAATTCTCTCGTGTCTACTTTCAACTCCATCATTGTACACTATCTTCCTCGGCGGTCTATTTATTCAGTTCTTACTTTAACACACGTGGGGGGCAGGGCAGCAGCATCGATGCGGCGCGTCGGAGCATAAGGAATGCTTATTCAATTAGGCCGCACATCGGCCACCGAGAGTCACACGGGCTATATTGAATTTCAAACTCATTTTACCTCCTCCCTCTGCCTGCCCCATGAGAGTACGTCAGAAAAGTATTATTATATACAGCCGCGTGCAGTGGTCCGGGCCGCATGGCGCAGCAGCACTGATGCTTCCATTCATTATTGTAAATTCCACCTCATCACGAGCAATTAATCTCTTAATTTTCTGCTTTGCCGAGCAATATGTGTGCTGCTGGGCGCGCACTTATTTTCAGCTCTCTCCACTTAAGGCATGCACGATATGTGTCCACTCGCTCGGCTCTTTCAGCGGAGGCATTAATATATTCTCGCGCAAATTTCAATTTAATTCCACGCGATACATTACACTAGAGCCAGTGAGAGAGAGAGAGAGAACGCGACGTAATGGCACGCGGAGAATAACGATTTGATACGAAAATAATAGAATATCACACGAGCCGGGGCTTGTATTATTTTTATTGCTACTCCTCTTTTTCCTGTCCTCCTCCTTTTTCTCTCTTTTTTTTCCTTCCTTCGTTTCGTCTCATCCACTTTTATTTCGCGCAAAAAGCGCACGACGATGCAGAAAAACTTTCTCTCCCCGTGTCTCGAGTATAGTCAGCAAAACTATACTCGTAAAAGTTAAAAACAAGTCGCCTGCTCAAAACGACTGCGCGACGAGCAGCACTATACGGCGAACTGGAAAAAAAAAATCCCACATCCATATGTGCGTGTATATACGTATATATGTGTAGCACACACACACCAATAACCATATCTGTTTTTCTTTGGTTTTTACATTGCGCGCGTAATATATATATTCGTAACCCTCGTGGCTTCTCTCGGCGTAATGCCTTGCCTTATGTCACGCGTACACATATACAGAGTAGTACACGTACGTATACGTATGCGTTTTCCCGCATTTTTCGTCTTTTCATTAAACTTATTTGCTATGTACTCCCAGCCAAGAAATGCGCCTGTTATACCAGTGTTTTACCATTTGTCTTTTCAAACATTCACCAAAGCGAAATCTCCTCCTCCTTTTTTTTTTACTCCTATAAAAGCTTCCTCCTGAGTTTCTCTCTCTTGCCTCTCTCTCTCTTTCTACTTCGTGTGTCTATACTACGGAAAATTATTTAAAATAGAGAAGACGCCGTGAAATCGTTGCGCAGCAGCGGCGGCGACGGCAGAGTCGGTATTGGAAAACGATTCTCTTGGCGTACATACGTATATAAAACAGCTGCACAGAGCAGCCACGTAGTGGTAGTAGTGCGAGCCCATAAGGATAAAAACGACGTTCCACAATGAATTGCACGCGATCTCGTTCTTTTCTCTCTCTTTCTCTGTGTGTGTATGTGTACGGAGCGCCTCAGAGAAGCCGTTTCTCTCTCTCTCTCTATTTTAATTTATCCCCGAGCTGGATCGTATGATACGTGTAATATATAGAAGCGAGACACGCGTCGAAGCCAGAGACAAGTCCTATCCGATATTCTTCTTTGATTTTCCCTCCATCAAACCGTATGTATTATTTGAGAAGGAGGGTTTGGGAGAAGCACACCGTGTCGAACTGATAGTCGTCGTCGTGTGTGTACCTACATATACATCGTGTGTGAGTGAAATCTGCAGAGGAAAAGGAGATGGATTCTCTTGATAGTAGGCAATGACAAAAGCTTCTCTCGAGCTTTCGTATTTGAAAGTTTTTACCTTTGTTTTTTTTTCTTTTTTTTTTTTTTTTGAGAGAGAGCGAGAGAGTAAGAGAGAGATTTAAAAGCATTCGTTTATGGTTTGTACACATATTTTTTTGATTTTTACGAGCGCCCATTGTTACCTCTCTCGCGCATTCTTTCGACTTGCTTTTTTTTTCATGTGTCAGAGTACATATTTATTTATTCGCTATCTCGATTCGATCGGCTTGGGTACTTTGTATTTAGTTTTTTGTTTTGTATATTTTTTTCTCCGCCAAAGCTCGACTTTTTTATTCGTTGCGTATATGTTTTGTGCCCTCTTTCACTTTTATTATTTACGTACGAATTTTTTGCGCTCTAGCATTTTTATCCCGCGCGCGCATCTGTACGCCAACGTTATCATTTACTCACTTTTTCCGTTCCATCTGGAAAATTAAAACTTTGAGCCTTTGGGGCATTGTAATAACTATCGCATACGAACATTAGAAAATTGCTTTATAAATGAAATTACAACTTTATTTGGGTGAATGCATATTCGCTTCCCATATATGTACCATATTAATCAATCAATCTTCGATGACGTTGATTTCTAAAGAAGCGAATTTTATTTGTGAAAAAATTAATTTTGTCGAGTGAAATTTTCCAAACTATACATAACACATTTCAAAGTCTCTGTCGGAGCGCACAAAACGCACTCGCGCTGCTGCGCCTTGGCTCACTTTTTTTCCAATAAGGAGTCGGTACATTTTTGTCGAATCCTCCTCCTAGCCCTCGAGCGCGTGCTCCGGTTTAAGCGTCCTACATTACGTAGATGCCTAGCAAGAGGGCGGATTGTGTGTGTGAATATATATAGGCGATCGCTCGTGACTTGAATTAAAATTCCATCTAGCGTCGTCGGTGGCTAGATAATAGCGTTTTAAGGGGCTCGATGCAGAAGAAAAGGATTCGGGGGCACTGAATCACTCGAACGAGTCGAACACGCAAATGTCTCTGTCAACGTCGTGGCTGCGAGAGAGAGAGAGAAAGCGAGTAAGGGAGAAAAAAAGCCTTTACATTCGCGAGCGCAGATATACGTGTATGTGTGTGCGTGGGAGCACTGCACATCTGGGAAAAAGTTTACAGGAACGGGAAAGGGTTCAATTATGAAGCGCTGAATAGGCAGGAATTTCGTGGATCTCGCTCTCGTATTTTCTAATTTCAACCGCAGAAATCCAAGGCAATTATCGATATTACAGATCGAACGAATATTCGCTGAATACGCAGCGGCAAGCAGCGGCGGCTCTAAGAGTGCAGCCTCGACTTTCGCTCTATGTAGACGATAAGCCGAGGCGACGCTTGGATAAATATGCGAAAGTACCCGGCCAAGTTCGGAATACTTAATGTTTACTTTAGCGTCGTTTATCGTGTGCCGCGCCTGAGAGAGAAAGAGAGGCGGAACTTGAATAATAAAAAGAGCGGAAAATTTTAAAAAGTGATTTCCGCTTCTTTTGAGCATGAAATCGCGATAAGACAAAATATTATTAAACATTTAAAAACGCAACAGCGACGTTTCATAATAACATGGTAATTGATTGTAAAAACTGAGTCGATGAGAATTCAATGATTCAAGAATCATACGTTTTACGTCAAAAATCGACGCTTCAAAATATACTGTAAAAATTATTGATATTAATGGACATTTTACATTAATTTTACTTTAAAATTACAATAGTCAATCTTAAATTATAATACTTGCATTGAAAGTAAGTCAAAATGTTTGAACTACTTTTTTCAGACACGCTAGTAGTACATACGTTACCGCTAGATGGCGTATGGCCGAATTTTCGGAATCCAATAGAGAGAAGGCTAAATTTTAGCATTAAAAGTGATACTACCCACATAGTATGTAAGCTCTCTTACAAAGGACCAATCCAAAATCTTTTCAGAAGTTTCCCGAAAGGTAGCAAAAAAGATTTCATAAAAAATTTTTTCGAAGGTCTCATCAAAACGTTCGGGAAGCTTTCCTAATCCTTCCCGGGATGCTTCCGTGAAACCATTCTAGAAGCATCAATAAAAGCATGAAGGAAGCTTTACAGAAACTTGCAACGAAATTTCAGGAGACTTCCCGGAAATATTCCATGGAAGTTTCTTGAAAGTTTTATAATAGGTTGCGAGGATGGTTTCATAGAGTCATAAGTGAACATTTTATTGAAGCTTTCAGGAAACTTTCTGGGAAGTTTCTATGAAAGTTTCCTGAAAGGTTATTTTGAAAGTTTCGATGAAACTTCCAAAAAGTACCTAGATACTTCAAGAAAG